ATAATCTATACACGAAAAATAATCCCATTATTCACCCTAAGGTTGCTTAGATGAGTGGAAAACAAAAATTCCCTTCCATGGTTTATCATTGTTCTTTTTTATCATTATCATTGTTATTCCTCATCTCATACCTGCATGTAAAGGAAAATTACCAACAAAGCTTTAACAGAATAATAACTTGACATAACTATTTGGTTGAACAACTTTTAACAAATTTCCAGGTGAAACCACGTAAAAGTCAGTGTCCAGTTCTTCACTAACTTATTAAAACTCTTGAATCTTGGTAAAATAGTGAACAAATGCAAGGGAAAGAATTGGTAGCTGATGAGGTGCTAGGTCATCAATCATCCTTGGAGAATGAGAATCTAATTGCCATTAATTGAGCATATTGCCAACCAATAACCATGTACTATAATCTGGCTATTTGAAAGGAAATACACTTGATATATCCAATATATACTTGTATCAGACATGCAAGAGGAAGTTCTTTGCATTTGGTTCTAGATTTGGTTAGTTGTCTTTATTGGTGAATCCTACAGATGATTTCTAAGTTAGAGATTACACTAAATTATTTTTATTTTAAAAAAAATTGCACCAGCATTGCAAGATAGATTAAGCACACCTGAAACGAAACTACAACTTGGCTGCCGAAACCTAAGCCAACATAGTGTATAGGCAACAGAAGAATTAAATTAGGTATCTGAAATGAATTTGATTTATGCACTCCAGTGTGGTTCTTTTTTTTTTATTATTAATGTGGCTGTCCGGGTCAGCTTGCGCGCACTACGACTAATCCCACGGCCCACTGAACATCCTGCAAGTCCAGTGAGCAGGTAAGGTACCGCGGGGGTGACAGGCATACCATACAGAGAGTACCCAGTAGAAATATGAAAGGAATAACTTGTCAACCCCACTCCCACTGGGACTCGAACTGAGGTCTGAAGGAAAGCAAGCAGGCTCAACAGCCACTGAGCCAAGACCCTGCTGGTACTCCGGTGTGGTTCTTTGTGTACTAGGTGGTGGTTGGGCAGCTAAAAGGGTTGAAATAAAGGGTATTTAACACTTCAGAATTCAGTGCCGCTTACACATTCTTCTTTGAATTAGGTATTCTCAGGTTTTCATTTCTAAATGGAATCGTGCAGCTTTAATTTCTCTTTCACTTTTTAGAAGTTCAGATCTGCGTTTCGATTATGCCCATAGAGTGGTCTCTTCAATGGAAGTCATACCTTTAGGAACTGACTTTAAATGTGAGCGAAGGCTCAAAATTTTGCTTCTGATTACAGGAATTGCAAAATACGAATCAGAAGACATAATTAAGTGTGTTACGCTACATTGACTTACTTTTCATGAGTTGCTTTCATTTCTTTTGATTGTTTCCTGCATATCTCATCATTATACCAGGCATGAACTAAAAGTAAAACTATATGCTATGATATTAGAGAATACCATTTGCATTGTAAGATTGCCAGTCAATCAGAAGAATGAAAATTTGAAAGTTGATTTGTTTATTGTTTGATGACTTTTGTTCCTGCAGACTGACTAAAGGCAGAAGCTACGAGGACAAGAATATAGAAAATTTAATGAGTGAAAAGAGATGAGATGTAAACTTCAAATTTGAAATTTATTTATATGAAAATAAGGCTAATGAAGTTTGCCTCTGTAAAGATTCACATGACCTTTATATAGGTCACAAAAAACCCTACTTATATCAGGAAACAAATAAGAATCCAAAAGCATACAGAAAATTAAAACAGAATCGGAATTAAAAAATAATTCTAAAAAAACTTGAGAAAAATAATAAAATTGACACAAATAGCAACCACTTGGCTTTATTTTAAAAGATCTAATGGTCCAATAAATAATAAAATAATTTTTCATAAACAAATTGCCTATAGCATTGCTAGAACATATTAACCTTGATTCAACTATTAGATCTTTTATTATCATTATTGTAAACTATTATCCTAGTTTAATGTAACTAGACCATTTTTTTATTGTCTAAACTTACTTTATTAATCTATAAAAACACCTCTTAGATCATATAAATAATCTTTTTAAACAAATTCACTTCTAGTCATGATTAATCTCCGTCCATACTCAAAAACTTTTTGTTTTTGCAAGCCCGACAGATTAGCTTTGCCATGATTGGTAGTATGGGAAAATAAATAACGGTTTGAACTTTCGATGTGTTTATTGTTTCCGTGATTATGGGATCAAGATACTTTTTCTTCCTGTCTATAAGATGATCTCTAAGTCATTGTAACAGTACTTCCTATGTTGCATTCAACTGCATGTTAGATTATCGTAGTATTGCTGTTTTCTACTAGAAATATCATTGTGCGGACTTGTCTTCATGAATTATTTGGGTTTTATGTAGGGCTTATATTTTACACCCTATCTAAACTGCCACCCAAACCACATGAACTATGGGGGCATTTGAGGTTTGTACTGTTTCAAATACAATTTGATGCTCGAAGTTACACGATTGCTTCTCCCCCTCTCCTTCTTGTTTATTTGCATGATCTACAATAAGGACTCCAAAGATTTATATTAGCCTTTATGTACATGATACAGAGTAATTTTCCTAATATTAAAAAAAATAATACTTCTAAGAGTTTGCTTTTTCTTTTAAGGTCCTCTATTCTGCAAAATTGTTCTAGAAGTACGCATGTACATGCCTAGAAAATTGCAAATCACTGAGGGAATGTTTTATTAGTTTTTAAAGACTAATTCAGTCGGAAATAAAATTATTGGTAAAATAACAAATGGAATCATATCATCTAAAAAATATCATCAGAGGCTTTTATTTTATTAATTAATTCATTGATAATATAATCACCGATGGATTTACAAACACAATTAGCATATCAAACAAAAAAATTCTATAGTATTAATTCTCTCAATATATCCATCAGTAATTATGGTATATTTATTACCAACATAATAAAATATTAGTATATCCATTGGTAATTATATACATATTATTAATAGAATTAATTTGTCAAAAATGTTAAGTTTTGAAATTTTTTTAAACTCTTGGAAACTCTCTCAAGTACTTATTTTATCAATAATTTTGTTTGTATTATAAGCAATTATTTTAAAAATTAAAAAAAAAACAAAATTTTAAAAATTAGAATAGAATTAAATTAAATTTAAAAAGAAAATAGATATTATTAATTTAAAAATTATTATTAAATACAATTTAACTATTTAGTAAACAAAAGTTGGAAGACTAGATGAAGCCAAATATTCACCAAAACCAGAAGGATGACAAGAGGGAGTATAGGTTCTAATGAGAGTTCCAAACAACTACTTGATGACATTTAATTTATCCCTCAATTGGGTCATGTAACAACCCCAACATATAATTTATCCCTCAATTGGGTCATGTAACAACCCCAACATATATATATTTAAAATAAAGAGCAATGACATAATAATTCAATTAAGGTTAAGGAATTATTTTTATGTAATCATTAAAAAATTTGGTAGAGTTTCCTCTATATTTTTAGATAACAAGTTATCGACTCTTTTTTCATAATCTTCAATTAACAAATCTCTAATTTGTCCTATCATCCAGGACATTGTTTCCTTATTACATCACAACTTCTTAATAATCAAATTTTCACATGTTTAAACAATTCAATATCATATATACATGGATTCAATAAATGAGGTACATTGCACAATTCAAAGATTTACAAATAAGGACTATTAATGAAATTATAATCAAAATAAATTCATAATTAAAGATGAAATTCATAATTAAGGTTATATTACACAAAAGAACTTTTGATAAACTGTAGACGCATTATAATACATAACAAAATAATAAATTCATTTATTACAACATGATATCCAACAAAATATAAGGAAATTAATTTATTTTTCAGTCCGATAGGGAGATGTACCTGAAAATAGATTTAATACAATAATTCAATTAGACAAATGAAAAAAAAAAGATATCCATAAAAATTTATTTCTACTTTCTTTCTTTCCTCTTTTTTTTTTTGTAAATTTAGTCAAAAGATCATTAAATTAACTTGCTTATTTATTATTACATATCAATTAAATTTTAGAATAATCTATGATTTTGTTTATTATTATTATTAACATCAACAAAATATAATCATTCCTATCATCAAATTAACACGATATTACATTCACTAATAAATGATTTATTTTTCTCCAGTCCATTCAACCTGTTGTCATCAGTCCAAAAATTAGTTAATGTTTCACCCATTCATCTATTGTCATCAGTCTAAAAATTAGTTAATGTTTCACCCATTCATCAGGGTACAAATCTCATTAACTAGAGAATTAATTCTTCATCTTGCCCATTTATCAGGGTACTAATCCCTTTAAATCAGGAATTAGTTCAACAATATATTTATTTACTAGGATACTAATCCTATTAATCAAAGACTTAATTCCTCATCATGTCTATTTACTAGGACATTAAACTTATTAATTCAGTAATTTATTCAACAATTTGCTTAATCACTAGGGTTCTAATCCCATTAACCAGGGAATTAATTCCTTATCATGCCCATTTACAAAGGCAGTAATTCAATTAATTCAGAAATTAATTCATCATATGCTATATCTTATTTTTATATCTTATTTTCTCAAGTAAACAACATAATAAGAAATTATTATGTTGTTTACTTGAGAAAATAAGATATAATGTCCCAGCTTGAAGTCTGAGAGGAACGAGATTGCTTGTGACATGCTAGTGTAGCCATAGTTCTTGAAAGTAACATTTGCAAGGAGTCTCCCCGGATACATGTAACCGATTATTAGCTCGGTGATAACGTTGAGTTCTGGTTGCTGCACAACAATTTCGACATTAATAGGAGGACAATTAACACGAGCAGGTTAGAAACCTAGTCTGCCAAGATCATACCTGGTTTGTAGTTGCTGCAAGAACACCGACTGGAAGGGTGAACATGAGAGCCAAGCCAACTGCCAGTAGGACACCCCAGTAAGGAAGTTGCAACTGTTTACCAAAGCCTTCACAAGTAAGCAAGGTTAGTGCAACTACTATGATCAAGAGGGAGTAAAACCACCATTGAGGGACAGCTTCGTAATTCTTCTTCATTATTCTAGTGTGGACATTAGCGTACTTGTCTTGATATGCTGCTTTTGTTTGATGCCAAATTTCTCTGCAAACAGAAGGACAAGGTAATCAGACAAATAATGATATGTTATGATATCTATTGACGGAATGAGATTAGCGTCATAAAAAACCTCAGAATCTGTTGATAAATACCTTCCATGGAAAAGTGCCACATGAGTTAATGCAGCAGCCAATATGGCAAAGTTAAGACCATAGGTGTAAACGAAGAAGATACTTAGGTTGACTTTGCTGTAGCCATCATATCCTGGTTGAGTGAATTTGAGGGTTGTCTCATTTAGAACTCTTGAAACATCGTAGGGTTGTCCATAAGCATCGAAAAAAAAATATATTGACCAATATTAAATTTAGGCATAGTGTAATTGTCTAACAATTGAGTTGGAGCCGAAGTTCTTTACCATGGTATTGGCCAGCAGCTTCTTAAATTGACAATTAAATTACATCATTATCTTATTTTTCATATTAACACAATCAATAAATAAAAATCCTTTCAATTATCCTTTCATTTGCCCAAAATAAAATTTAGATAGAAACATAAAAATTTTCTTCTTCCTTTTATAAATTTCCTTCCTATTCTTTCAATTTCCACATTGTAACACAATTTATTTACAATATATATATATATATTCTTTAAATGTATTTATTTACTTTATTTTTGCCAAAATTTAAATTTAAGAAAAACATAAAAAAAAATTCATGATCTATTCACTCTTTAACATTAATATCATCTCTTTCCTATACAATCTCATCATCTTATTTAAATTCTTAAATTTTATTCTTCTTATTATTTTTTTCCAAAAAATCCCTTCTTCAATAACATCTAAAATTTTGCTTCAATTATCATAATTTCTACTTTCTCTACTCACTTTAATAATCTTAAC